GCCTTGTTTCACAGGATTTACGGTACAATCTCTTCGTATGTGACCAAACGCATTGCATCCGAAGCATTTCACGCCTGTCTTGCATTCTGCCGCCACATGATCTTTGCTTCCGCAGTTGAAACATCTTTGCATGCCACCTGATTTTAAGCGTGTTCGGTGCACGTCGACACGGTGCGAATGTGCCTGTTGGTCCCGCTGCTGAACACCTTTCTTGGACGACTTGCCCCTTATGGTCTCGTAAATCATGAGCTTCTCCTTCAGCATACTATACTGACACCGTACAATACCGCTTTGTTCATTTCGTAGTCCTCGATGCCGTCAATAATGTACTGTATCGCCACGTAATCGGGAAATTTAGCTCTCTTACCCAATTCTTTCATGGTGAGCATATACTGCAGATATGTTTCATTGCTTCTTTTCTTACGCGCCGCCATTAGCTCGTGCATTTCTTTCACGTTCACGGCATCTGGAAATTCTTTAAAGAGCGCCGCCTTAAGCTCCTCGTATGTCCTGTACGTTTTCTCCGATCGTAGCCATAGCGCTGCCGTACCTGATAGCGTTCTCCTAGCCACAATCAGCGTTTGTTGAGGCGCCCACTGGAATATTTCGGCATTGTCCTCGACATCCTGTGCCCACTTACTTGATGAGTAGGTTTTATCATCGCCGCTGAATTTGACGATGGAATGCAAACGGTACTTAATTCCATTATATGTAATTGAATTTCGGGGTAATTTGTAGGGGAGGGGGAGGGGGGGCTCCCACCGACCCCCCCGCCATAAAAGATTTTTGGCGGAAATGCAGTTTTTTTTTACCTAACCTAAAAATTCATTAAATCTGTTATATGTAGTGGAATTTCAGGGGGATAGGTATTAGGGAAGACCCCTCAGAGGGAAGGGTCGTTTTTTTTTACAGAAATGATAATTATAAAAAAATAGAGGGGTTTTAAAGGTAAAACTGTACTAGTGTACTTCCAGGGCCTAGAGGTGATATTTGATTTTTTTGTAAAAAAAGTCTCTATTAACGAATTTTTCTCTGGCGCTTCGCCGGCCGCTGCCGCGGCACGCTCGCTTCGCTCGCTCGGCTCGCGCGTTAAGGTCACAACACTAACCTAACCTAACCTAGTGTGAAGTATCACCACACAAGTGGCTCATTAGAGTCCAAAACTCGCACTACACTCGACTCTTCAGGCGATGGGACAGCAGAACTCGAGGCCGAAGGCTTTGAGGATGCCATGGTAGTCAGACGATGTTAATATCAACAGGAGTACGAAAAAGCTCTTAACTGTGACGAACACAAACACTGACTGACAGATCTCATTAATGGCGGTAAATTGTCACATTTTGACAATAGTACCAACATAATAAACTTATATTTACCATAGACAACGAGAATCATGTTATTTTTGCATAAAAAAATGGCAGCACTGATCAAAATTGCTGTCAAAATTGACTCATAACCTACAAAAATATTAATTTTCAATAATTTTTTTCTCGAGTTCTATTCGTTTCCGCCTAAAAAGATTTCGTGTATGTGTTTTTAATAGTTAATACTTTGCGTGACAAAAATTTCAGCTTGCAACTCAATTACATATAATGGAAAGCTGAGCCATGCAAACCATCCATCATGCTAAACGACGCCGCCGTCGCCGGTGCAGTCACTTCCTTGTTATCCATCGTAGAAATTTCGTCGTCGTAATGCCGCCGTCGAAGCCACGTTGCACCACGCCGCGCCGTGACTTGATATTTTCCGCGTTTTCGAAAAATAAATATTTTTCTATCCCGGACGAGCCCCCAAAAATTTGTAGATTCGGATAATAATGAAAATTCCCTTTTAAATTATAAATTCGTTTTATTTTTATTTTAGCGACTTTACTTCCTAACGTCCTAATCCCGATTACCATTCCATTCTCTCCATCACAAAATGGCGCTAACACCCTTCTGTCTTTCTTCCTCATGCATACGTCTCGCTCACACACACGTTACGTTCCGATTCCCACATATATATTCATATGCATGTAGTAAAAAGCGGTTATTTCAATATTACAAACAGACACACACTTTTTTTATATTTATAGAAGATAACTTTGGAGTATATCGCCAATGTTTTATAGAAAGGGCGGAAAAGACATTTATCTAAACTATATGTTGATGAAAGTATGTGAGAATTGCATCGTTTTTTCGTGGTTCTGAAGGTTTGTACACTTTCGCCGGTAATAGGAGATACAGACCAGTCCAAAACCTAAAAAAAAACTAAATTTGAACATCTAGAAGTTAAATGTTTAAAAATTAAAAATATAACTATAATTGCTATTTCTTCTTTCTAATGTTTAATGCTTGTAAAGGTACACATTTGAAATTGTGTGCTAGCTACAATGCGAAGAGATGGCGCTGCCTTGCAGCCTTAGAAATACTAGAGAAAATTCGACGCGACCAACAGGGCCGCGGCAGCATAATGGTCAGTGCATCCGCCCGGATAGCGGAGGTTCGAGTCCCGTCTGCTGCCTGGTCCTTGAGGATTTTTTCTAGAAAATATTCTTTAGATTTAAACATCTAGTAGTTAATTGCTTAAACAATATTTAACACTATAGTTATAATTTTTAAGCATGTAACTGCTTGATGTTTAAATCTAAAGAAAATATAACTAGAAAAAAATCCACGCGGACCAGGCAGCAGATGGGACTCGGAACCCGCACTGCCTTGCAGCTTAAGAATGGCTAGAGGAATTTCGACGCGGCGGTCAGGGTCGCGGTAGCATAATTGGTCAGTGCATTCGCCCGGATAGCGAAGGGTGCGGGTTCGAATCCCGTCTGCTGCCTGGTCCGCGTGGATTTTTTTCTAGTTATATTTTCTTTACAATAAAACTGTTCCAGAGAAAAGGGCTTATTCGCTCTACAAAACATTAGTGTCGATTTAGGCAGGAATCTCTAAACTTAAAACTTAATTTAACATCAGTCTCTCCTTCTCATTCTGTATAGAGAATGACAAGGATACACTGCTGTCATATTAAAGTTTAGCTTCAGAAAATTTTATAACTGTTGCAAAGAATGTCAATGTCGAAATTTTTTGTTTTTATTTATTTATTTATACTTAATGCACAAGTGTACAAAGGCGGACTTAATACCATAGGCATTCTCTACCAGTCCACCAGTCCGGTTTGGGTTGAGTTTAGGGGCGACCATAGGGTGTTGTGGATAAATAGTGGTAGGGTGCATAACTTAGATGGAAAATAAAAGACGAACAGATATAAATACCAAGTAGTCGTATATTTAATTACTAGTGTACTTCGTTTCTCGCACCATATCCACCACAGTCCATATTCTATACTGAGAAGTGCAGTTTCCTGTATTGAGATAAAAAAGATTGATGATTCTTCTAAGTACAAATACAAACCAAGGTATTAATTAATAAGATTTCAAAATACCAATGGGTATTTAATGAAACGGTAACAATTTGTTAATTGATAACTGAAAAAAATTTAGCTATGAAAATATTAGCGCTAAATTTATTTATTTATTAGAGCTAAATAATGAAAATATTATTAATATCTTTTTATATTTAATTTAATAAATGATTACCTACAACAAAATTAATATTCCGTGTTTCCATTTCATGTCCTAATTAATGCTGAATAATGGGTAAAGTGCACCAAATTTCAGTATATTAAGGAATTTTAATCTTGACCACGTGAGTTTCGGTTTCGGTTCCCGCCGAAACTTAGCCAACAGTACTTATTTATGTATGTGTAATTATTAATCACACATTTATAATAAGTACTGGTTTTATTATTAAGTATTATTTTATAATGTACCTGTTGTTTTTCTTTTTAGCGCCTTACATGTCCTGGCTGAGGCAGGATCCTGATTGGCCGTCTTAGTTTTAATGATTATTTTTAGGGTTCCCTACCTCAAAACGAAAAAAACGGAACCCTTATATGATCACTTTGTTGTCCGTCCGTCCTTCCGTCTATCAAACCGTTTTTCTCAGGAACGCGTGGAGATATCAAACTGAAAGTCAAATCTAATATTCGGGTCTACTGTCCCTTGGCGCTGTGAAAAAATTAAACTTCTAAGCCAAAGCAATCAAAAGATACAGCCGTTTATGCCGCAAATTTTCGAAAGTCGCATGGGTATCAAAACCTACAGGGCACTTCCCGTGAACTTAGAATCTTGAAATTTAGTACGAAGTAACGTCTTATAGTACAGTACCCTTAGCATTAACCAATATCGAATTCGTATCGTTTGCGAGTCCGAAATGTCATAGGTAAATGTGTACTGATTTTTAGTTCTCGTTACGTACTTAGTGCCGCTGCTGTTCAAGTTTCCATACAAAATTTGACATTGACATTTCGGTTTGCAAACTATTCGAATTCAATAATGTTTCGTGCTAGGGGTACAGATAAAGGCAAAATTGCGAAAACCGTAAATTTTTAGTTACTTACATCATATAATAAAAAATATAAAAATATTTTTGAAAAAATCAGGTTTGTACGGAACCCTCGGTGCGCGAGTTCGACTCGCACTTGGCCGGTTTTTTTTTCTGTTTTTTTTGTAGGTTTTTTTTATCTATATATATAAAACTCAAAGGTGACTGACTGACATAGTGATCTATCAACGCACAGCCCAAACCACTGGAGGGATCGGGCTGAAATTTGGCATGCAGGTAGATGGCATCCGCTAAGAAAGAATTTTGATGAATTCTACCCCCAAGGGGATAAAATAGGGAATGAAAGCTTGTATGAAACTTTGTCAATTTTAAACCGATCGGGCTGAGACTTTGCATGCAGGTATAAGAAGATACATAGATGAATGTCAATGTGTATAATACAAGCCTGAGAACAAAAATTGTAGTCTACACTTCAGCTCTACACCGATGCGAAGCGGGGGCGGGCCGCTAGTTGTTGTATTGTATATAAGATGGCCAATAAAGGTTTTTCATTTCATTTCAATCATGCCAGAATCGACACCCTTGACGATATTAAATGTGTATTTTGGTTTGTCGTAGGTCGCTTGGGGTCAGCTCGCGGAGACTTTACGCATTAAATTCTATTCGGCCACTTCTGGAGGTGATCTCTCCGAGGACAATCTACGTTTCTTAGCAGAGAAGATCTTTAGGTAACAATTCTACACATAGTTTAATAATACATAGTTATTTATGCAACTGTTTGACCAAAATATTAATAACTTTCTAAAAAAATAAACGTGTGTACTTATTTATGACCACACGACTGAAGTGAAACTTCTTTAGCTCCAATGATCTGAAAATCATAAACTTAACCTGAAGATTTGTTGATAGAAAAAAACAACAATTCGCTCTGGGTCCGTTTTCACGCACTTAACCGCACTGGGTCCGTTTTCTCTCACCAATCCACACTGGGTCCGTTATCATCCACCAATCCACACTGGGTCCGTTATCACCCACCAAGCACTAGATTCATGTATTTTGTGATGGGTATTGTTCATTGTTTACCGATCTGTCACCGATGACACTAATCGTAATGTGAAATAGTAACACCTTCGCTAGTTTACTTTTTTGAAAAAAGTTTATCTCTCACAAAAATCAACTTACATGAATCACATTTAAGCGCACCTAGCGACATCTATTGTAAAAAAAATGCATTTTCTGCGCAATAAAGCTGGCACCTGGACGTCCTAGATAGAGACTTATTATTATAAATATGTTTCGTCCAATATATTGAAAGTCAACAACTTTTCCAATTTTATTGTTTTCGTCTTACGAATATTCGATTAGGTCCTGACGCGAGTTTAACATTTTTTACCCATTACAAAAAAAGTACAACGCCGCTAAAGAAGTTTTCACTTCAAAAAGAAAGGGAAAGTGAGAGAGACGGTGAGTGAGAGAGATAGAGACAGTGTGAGATAGTGACAGACGGCGTGGGAAAAAAACAGACCGTGTAAATGAGATGGATAGTGACAGAGAGATAGGCTGTAGGAGAGACATTAGTCCAGTCAACAAGTTCAAAAACGTGAAAAATAGAGATAAAGCTCCTAAAAATATGAGCAATAGCTCATTGGATTCGTAACGACCTCTAGAAAAATGAGTTTTGAGGATTTTACTGCACGTAAAAAATTGCAATTGTTATTAACAAAATAAGATGAAAAAAAAGAGGTATTTACGTTTTTGTTAATAATTCATAAACTATTAATATTTACGATATTTGGAAAAAAGGTCCTTAAAGAGGAGGAAATTTACGAAATAAAAGTCCCAGCTCCCGGAACTCTACCTCTATTATTTATAATTTTAATTTAACGCTGAAAATAGGGCTCCGCGCAGCCATTACGGCATGGGCGCACTGCCGTTAAAGACAGTTTCTTACATAAAATTATTTTTTTATAGTAACAAATATGAATTTAAAAATTTAAATAAATTATGGTGTCATCCAGATACTTGAAAGAATATATTCCCCTTGGAAAAATTTTTTTAAATTAATTTTTCAAAAAGTTATGCAATTGTTAATTAACGAATTTTTTTCCTATCTCCGTTTTCATAAATGACGACATAAAAATTTAAATAATAAACCTATAAATTTTTGGCTCTGTGGAGCTCTTCTTATATATATACTTAACAAGATCCCGCGATAAAAGTTTATTAAAGTTAATTATTTTGTTTATAACAATTTTTTAAAGTTAACAAAAAATGAAAAGTCTAAGAAATGTTATTAAAAAAATTTTTTTAAACAAATGTTATATTATTGCTGCTTTTTTATCCAACAATGGCATTAGGTAACATCGGAAAAAAAAATATTACATCATTTGTTAAGAAATTGTTTATAAACAAATAGACAAGTTTAATATTTAAAGAAATTGTTTTTTTACCATTATGTTGTCTTGGCAAAATAAGGATTTTTAAAAAAAAAAATTTTCTTAAATAAATTTTTTTATTGTTTATAATCGTTTTTTTTATATTTCGATTGTTTAAATAATTAGTTAAGGAATGATTTTCTCTTTAAAAATCATAATTAGCATTTCTTCATAGGTAAATAGAAAAAAAAAAAAATATCAATAATTTCATTGTTTGTTAACTTAAAAATTTGTTATAAACAAACTCTAACTACCGTTATATTTTTTTTCTAGAGCTAAAAAAAATAGCAAAAACAGCCATATATATCAAAATACTAAAAAAAAATTTTTTCTATTTTTTATAACGCTTTTAAATATTACACGATACCAAAGTTGCACCGGACACTTGATTTGTCAAGTAAAAAATTAATATAACTTATAAACTATTCGAGATACGACAATGGACATTCAGGTCGTTTTTATAAAGCATTAATTAATCTTCAAAATAAGCTAAAAACCAAGTTTGTAACTATTGTTTATCAGCTAATACATGCATTTGTTTATAACATTTTGAGAATTCTTTAACTTTTTCGTATCTCTTATGACTTACAACTTAATAAATAATTAAAATACAGCTATAAAACTTAAAACAATTTTGTTTAGCGATACATTATCTCCCAAATTATTACCTCGATGTTAAATTGAACACGAGTTAAATAAATATTAATTAAGTCACGTATATTGTTTAAACAATTAGAGATGGAGGTACGATTAATTGATAATTTGGGAGATAATGTATCGCTAAACAAAATTGTTTTAAGGTTTATAGCTGTATTTTAATTATTTATTAAGTTGTAAGTCATAAGAGATACGAAAAAGTTAAAGAAATCTCAAATTTTTATAAACAAATGCATGTATTAGCTGATAAACAATAGTTACAAACTTGGTTTTTAGCTTATTTTGAAGATTAATTAATGCTTTATGAAAACGACCTGAATGTCCATTATCGTATCTCGAATAGTTTATAAGTTATATTAATTTTTTACTTGACAAATCAAGTGTCCGGTGCAACTTTGGTATCGTGTAATATTTAAAAGCGTTATAAAAAATAGAAAAAAATTTTTTTTAGTATTTTGATATATATGGCTGTTTTTGCTATTTTTTTTAGCTCTAGAAAAAAAATATAACGGTAGTTAGAGTTTGTTTATAACAAATTGTTAAGTTAACAAACAATGAAATTATTGATAATTTTTTTTTTTCTATTTACCTATGAAGAAATGCTAATTATGATTTTTAAAGAGAAAATCATTCCTTAACTAATTATTTAAACAATCGAAATATAAAAAAAACGATTATAAACAATAAAAAAAATTATTTAAGAAAATTTTTTTTTTTAAAAATCCTTATTTTGCCAAGACAACATAATGGTAAAAAAACAATTTCTTTAAATATTAAACTTGTCTATTTGTTTATAAACAATTTCTTAACAAATGATGTAAAATTTTTTTTTCCGATGTTACCTAATGCCATTGTTGGATAAGAAAGCAGCAATAATATAACATTTGTTTAAAAAAATTTTTTTAATAACATTTCTTAGACTTTTCATTTTTTGTTAACTTTAAAAAATTGTTATAAACAAAATAATTAACTTTAATAAACTTTTATCGCGGGATCTTGTTAAGTATATATATAAGAAGAGCTCCACAGAGCCAAAAATTTATAGGTTTATTATTTAAATTTTTATGTCGTCATTTATGAAAACGGAGATAGGAAAAAAATTCGTTAATTAACAATTGCATAACTTTTTGAAAAATTAATTTAAAAAAAAATTTCCAAGGGGAATATATTCTTTCAAGTATCTGGATGACACCATAATTTATTTAAATTTTTAAATTCATATTTGTTACTATAAAAAAATAATTTTATGTAAGAAACTGTCTTTAACGGCAGTGCGCCCATGCCGTAATGGCTGCGCGGAGCCCTATTTTCAGCGTTAAATTAAAATTATAAATAATAGAGGTAGAGTTCCGGGAGCTGGGACTTTTATTTCGTAAATTTTCTCCTCTTTAAGGACCTTTTTTCCAAATATCGTAAATATTAATAGTTTATGAGTTATTAACAAAAACGTAAATACCTCTTTTTTTTCATCTTATTTTGTTAATAACAATTGCAATTTTTTACGTGCAGTAAAATCCTCAAAACTCATTTTTCTAGAGGTCGTTACGAATCCAATGAGCTATTGCTCATATTTTTAGGAGCTTTATCTCTATTTTTCACGTTTTTGAACTTGTTGACTGGACTAATAGTTAATGGAAATTTGAAAACACTCATTTATGTCGCAGCTTAATAAAATGGCAGCTATGCTAAGATTTAGTGGGTTGGGGTTTAGTTTAGGCGCCCGTCAGCACGTTTGACAAAATATCTATATAAATATCGAAATAATTGTCGGTCAGAGGAATTGTACCGCCTGAAAGTTAGATATAGATAGTGTGAGTGAAGGAGATAATGACGGTGAGTGAGAGAGACGGGAAAATTGTAAGTAAGAGACGGGGAGAGTGTGAGAGAGAGATGGGAAGAGTGTGAGATAGAGACGGGCAGAGTTAGACAGAGACGGGAAGTGTGACGAAGAGACAGAGTGCGTGTGAGAGAGAGAGACAGACATTTACAGAGAGGGAGAGGCTGTGCGAGAGACACAGTTAATGGCAGTTTGAAGACTTAAACTGCGTCGCAGCTTATTATGGCAGCTATAGGACCATTACAATAGTTTTCTTTACATTTTAGTGGGTTGGGGTTTAGATTAGGGGCCCGTCAGAACGTTTGGAAAAATATCTATATAAATATCGAAATAACTGTGCGTCAGTATTCCTGCTGCGTGCAGAAGCAGTCTACCCCTGAGCGGGCCGGAACTGAATATAGTTCTGCAGGGACGCGCTACCCGAGAGGAACTTCACTTTCTGGGAGTGGTCTACGGATACACTAGAGAGAGTGTGATAGAGACAGACAGTTTGAGAGAAAGAGAGAGATGCAGACTGTGCGAATGAAAGAGGTGGGAAGAGTGTGAGAGAGGCAGAGAGTCTGTGAAAGAAAGGGAGGGAGACAGGCAGAGTGAGAGAGAGGGAGACGGAGAGAGATGGGTCGAGTGTAAGAGGGAAACGGGGAGAGTGAGAGTGAGACTGACAGTGAGGCTTTAGGAGAAACACAGCTAATGGCAATAGGGATGATGACTATTTTTTTTTCTTCGTTTATCAGGTAGATTATCAAAAAGTATTGGACACGTATTTTTTCTTTTTTCACATAATTTATACATTGCAGAGATATATTGATTTGAAAAGTCGCATGACGTCACGTTTGAGTACACTTAAGCGAATATTCACTAGAAAGTGACGTCACGAGCCCCTACTCCCAAACTTTGACGTGCTATAACTTTGTCATTTTTTGGTTGATTGCCCAAAGAAAAAATACGTGTCCATTATTTTTTGATCATCTTACTGACGGACTAAATAGAATTTCGTTTACTGTACCCCGTCATCACCCCTATTTGAAGACACTCATTTATGTCACAGCTTGCCTTTTTGCAGCCTATTGGACCATTTGACATCGTTTTCTTTACATTTTAGTGGGTTGGTATTTAGCTTATAGAACCATCAGCTCGTTCAACTTAAAATAAAGACTACTTTTTACGTATGTTTATTCGTAACTTCGTAATAATTGTGCGTCCGTATTCCTGCCGCGTGCAGGAGCAGTCTCCCCCTCAGCGGGCCGAAGCGGAACGCTACCATGGTGAGCTGGACGCAGTTCTGCAAGGACGCGCTGCCTGAGAGGAACTTCACTTTCTGGGAATGGTCCAAGGAGACATTAGAGAGGTTGTGATAGAGAGATAGACAGTTTGAGAGAGATAGAGTGATGCAGACTGTGCGAGTGAAAGAGACGGGAAAAGTGTGAGAGAGACGGGAAAAGTGTGAGAGAGACAGGTAGAGTGAGGTGAGAGAATGAGACGGAGAGAGTTTTTAGACAGACGGGTAGGGTTTGGGAGTGAGACAGAGGCAGGGAGAGTGTGAGCGAGAGACAGACAGTGACGGAGTAAGAGGGACAGGCTATGAGAGAGGGACAGAAAATGGTAATTTGAAAACACTCAACTGTGTCACAGCTTAATATTATGGCGGATATAGGGCTATTTTAATTATTCTCCTTGGTTTTAAGTGGGTTTAGGTTGAGTTTAGGGGCGTTTATGTATTGTAACTTCGTAATAACTGTGCGTCAGTATTCCTGCCGCGTGCAGAAGCAGTCTCCCCCTCAGCGGGCCGGAGCTGAACGCAGTTCTGCAAGGACGCGCTGCCCGAGAGGAACTTCACTTTTGGGAGTGGTCCAAGGAGACATTAGAGGGGGTGTGATAGAGAGATAGAGTGATGCAGACTGTGCGAGTGAAAGAGACGGGAAAAGTGTGAGAGAGACAGGAAGAGTGAGGTGAGAGAATGAGACGGAGAGAGTTTGAGAGAGAGACGGGGAGAGTTTGAGACAGACGGGTAGGGTTTGAGAGTGAGACAGAGGCAGGGAGAGTGTGAGCGAGAGACAGACAGTAACGGAGTAAGAGGGACAGGCTATGACAGAGGGACAGAAAATGGTAATTTGAAAACACTCAACTGTGTCACAGCTTAATATTATGGCGGATATAGGGCTATTTTAATTATTCTCCTTGGTTTTAAGTGGGTTTAGGTTGAGTTTAGGGGCGTTTATGTATTGTAACTTCGTAATAACTGTGCGTCAGTATTCCTGCCGCGTGCAGAAGCAGTCTCCCCCTCAGCGGGCCGGAGCTGAACGCAGTTCTGCAAGGACGCGCTGCCCGAGAGGAACTTCACTTTTGGGAGTGGTCCAAGGAGACATTAGAGGGGGTGTGATAGAGAGATAGAGTGATGCAGACTGTGCGAGTGAAAGAGACGGGAAAAGTGTGAGAGAGACAGGAAGAGTGAGGTGAGAGAATGAGACGGAGAGAGTTTGAGAGAGAGACGGGGAGAGTTTGAGACAGACGGGTAGGGTTTGAGAGTGAGACAGAGGCAGGGAGAGTGTGAGCGAGAGACAGACAGTAACGGAGTAAGAGGGACAGGCTATGACAGAGGGACAGAAAATGGTAATTTGAAAACACTCAACTGTGTCACAGCTTAATATTATGGCGGATATAGGGCTATTTTAATTATTCTACTTAGTTTTAAGTGGGTTTAGGTTGAGTTTAGGGGCGTTTATGTATTGTAACTTCGAAATAACTGTGCGTCAGTATTCCTGCCGCGTGCAGGAGCAGTCTCCCCCTCAGCGGGCCGGAGCTGAACGCCACCATGGTGAGCTGGACGCAGTTCTGCAAGGACGCGCTGCCTGAGAGGAACTTCACCTTCTGGGAGTGGTTCTATATGGTCGTCAAGGTTACAAGAGACTATCTGAGGACGCTGTGGTGTGACGGGTGAGTTGAAGATGTAGCCTCATATCAATATAACAGTTTTTACGGGTTATATGCACTGAATTTATTTATTTAATGTCGTTTCGCATCCTTTTCAGGAATACATCATCGGAATAATGATTTTTTTTTATTTACTTTGTCGAGGTACCTTCGAAAGACTTTTATTGAGCGTTCGGATATTTCATTGGAAGATTTTTTAAAACTTAATAGGGTATTTGACAGTATTAGAAATAAAGTGCCAATTGTTAGCATCTGTGTTTAGAATGAATATTGGCAGGGGTTTTTACTATTTTTATAAAAAAATATTCGTAATTTTACTAAAAACCAACGAAAAAGATAATAGTTTTCTTATCTATTGTCACGAGACCCAAAACGCTTGCTATTAGTGGAGCCTAAAATTACGTCACTCGCAAGTAAACTTCCGGTTAAAGTGACATTACATTGTATCGTTTGACGTTTTAATAACAGTCATGTGACGTCACACACTAGTAAGACGCCATATTGTCCAGAAAAATGTTTTCGCGGCAACTTGAAAATGGAGTTTTTGATTTGGTTATTTTTACTGAAATACACAAAAGAATGATGAATATCCATTCCACTCCATAAACATTAGTCAATAACGTGAGATCGTTTTCTAAAACTTGTCAAATACCCTATTGTCAATGCTTGAAGTTATTAGCAAATTTTAATTAATAAAGTAATTTTATTAATTCTTTTTTATAATTTTGGGTTTATTTATTTGATCTTAACTACCGTAAGCTACCACCGGTTCCAAAATTGGGAGACCTTTCTGAGAAGAACCTTCGAAACCAACTCAGAGAGGCTTTCTATCTCCCTCTTATGTGAAATCATGCAAACAAAAAGAACCAACTGTATCTGTATCATTTAATGAGTGATGTGCGTGTAAACCTAAGAAACAAAAATGTATCCTCATCATATCATATATTAATGTCCAGACTGCTGGAGCACAGGCCTTCCCTAATAGGGAGATTGGGTCGTGACCCACCACGCAGGCCCAGTGCAGATTGTTGGGTGCTGACGACTGCAGATGCAGCCGGGACTGACGGCTTAACGTGCCCTCCGAAGTACGGAGAAGCTCGAGATAGTAAATTTTTGGTCACCCATCCAATGACCGACCACTGCGAAAGTTGCTTAACTTCAACGATCGCAGCCGAACGCGCTAACCGTCCGCCATCTAGCCCCTCTGATGTATCCTATTGTATAGAAAATGTATCTTATATATATATTATGGTATTCCACTTACTAACTACTTTATACTTAGACAAAAAATTAAAACTTTTTACAGCTTAAAATCTTTTAAGAAATTTTAACAGGATAATTTGCTCATTTAATCATGTCTCAGAATAGTTACTTTTTATTTATTTTTGTCTGATTTTAATTTTGTGTTTGTGTTTATGAATTGTTGTTTGTTATGCTGTCCCCATTAATTTTTCATTCCTAATTTTAAGCATGCTGTGGCAACTAAAAACAGTTCTCTTAGTTCCATTTTAATATAGTTCTCTTCATTAGCTCACTGTCTTGTAACTTTTACTGACTGCCCTTAAAAAATAAATAAACAAAGTAAAATGAATTCTTTATTACAAACCAACGATATTAAATACCCAAGATACACCAACACAAACAAAATCGTGGCCGAAACCTGTACAAAAGGTACATTGAACGATCCACGGAGCTCCGTAAGATGATCGCGTAGTCAAAATCAATATAAGGCATTATTTAAACATTGAAAGTAACCTTTAATACATACTGTATAAGGTCTTAAATAAAACGCATGCGTCAAGGACTTCTGACAGTTCGAAATGCAAACTCGTAAAATTTTAGACCTTAGTTCTTTGACTCTACGCGCAATTCTGAACGCGCTGTTAGCAATGTAGCAGGCACGGCCCGCGAGGAAAAGAGACGGCTATATGGCGACGTATAACCGATCATGCATTTGAATATCACAAATATTTTATATTAAATCAGTTTATAGTAAGTATTAGATCAAAATTTACTTCAAATGCGTTAAATTAACAAAGAAACGTAAGTATTATTTTCGCATTTTTTCGCGGAGCTCTGTGGCATCTTGACTTTGTAACGGTCCGCGCGTGACTGTGAACCAAGAAGTGCTTGAGTGGAGTTCAAGCACTTCTTAATTGGGACACGTTTTGAGCGCTCGTGGTGTATCTAAGGTATTTAATATCGTTGTTACAAACATTTTGGGATGTTTAAGTTTCATGTATTGAGTGATATAATAGGTATACTGCCCTGCAAACAAAGTATCACCGTTATATTTTCATATTTTAAGCATTCAACAGCTAGATATTTAAATCTAAAGAATAGTTTACAAGGAAAAATCCCACGCGGACTAGGCGTCTTAATACTTGTAAAGGTATTTCATTTGACATTGTAGGTTACCTAAAATGGGAAGAGATGGCGCTGCCTTGCAGCCTAAGGCTAGAGAAAATTCGACACGGCCGTCTGGCATTCGCCCGGCTAGCGAAGGGTGCGGGTTAGAGACCCGTCTGCTGCCTGGTCCGTGTGGATTTTTTTCTAGAAAAACTTTTCTTTAAATTAAAACATCTAGTTAATTGCTTAAAAAATTAAAAACATAACCATATGATACTTTTTATCCCGGAAAAATGTTGGGTTTCTGTGGGATTCTCATAAAAAGTTTTTCTTTAATTCGCGAGCACAGCTAGTATCATATGTATAAAATAAAAAGATTCCCTAGTCTATAATACTGTGTTCTCGTACAGCCTCATCATGGGCTTCATACAAAAGAAGCAGGCGGAAGACATGCTGTCCAAATGCTCCCCGGGTACGTTCCTGCTCCGCTTCTCGGACTCCGAGCTGGGGGGCATCACTATCGCTTGGGTGGGGGGTGAGTTACAATCTATTGATTTATGTACGATCAAATCGTACATTTTGCAAGCAAAGCATTTAATTGTTTAGGTCTATATTTTACCGTTTAAATACATTTCATAATCACGCCCAAGTTAGTTCGCGTTTGTCTCAAGCAGTGTGCACACAGTTACATCAAGTTTAATAATAAATATTTTCGTCAAGTTTATCAAGTGTTTTCCTGTCTTCAATATCAAGAAATAGCAATTCAATGTACTGAGTTGACAAGGGCTCGTACAATTTATTTCATTTCAATATCACCTTAGATTCAAACAAAAAGGGAAGGCACGGTACGCTGATCATCATCATCATCAGCCTATTAATGTCCCCACTGCTAGGCGCAGGCCTTCTCTATGGATGGAATAGGGAGATTGGGCCGTGACCCACCACGCGGGCCCAGTGTGGATTGGTGGGTGCTGACGGCTGCAGATGCAGCCGGGACCAACGGCTTAACGTGCCTTCCGAAGCACGGAGGAACTCGAGATAATAAAGTTTTGGTCACCCATCCCATGACCGACTTTAAATATATCTCAGATATTTGTGGAAGCACATCGATGGTTCTTTTTTTTGATACGTTTTTTAGCGAGCTGTTCTCTTAATAAATTTGGTGAAGATCTGATAAGTATTTTTGGAAATAAATAAATAAACTTCTCGGTTACATTTACAAACAGTATACATGTTGATAAGTGTTAGTGTTAGCAATATTACAAGCATTATACCGCCCTATTACAACACATAGACTACAATTCATGCTGTCACTTTTTTTGCCTAAAAAAAGATGGCGACGACGTAAGGTCTAAACCAAGAGTCTCTATCATTCTATGAAAAAGGAGAGACTGATGTTAAATTTAGTTTCACACGCCAGAATCGCCACCTTTATTTATTTAAACTTTATTGCAAAATTACAAAGCAAATGGCGGACATAATGCCATAAGGCATTCTCTACCAGACGACCAGTAAGAGCGTGAGAAAAAAACTAATATGACGGGGACGCAATAAAGACAAATTCAAGATAAACCAATGATACAAATACTCTTAACAGAATACATACATATTATACCTTTGTTTCCCGGGGTCCACCTCGTAGTCCACCCAGGTGGGCAATGGGGATTATTTTTTCCCGTGGATCACCAGGTGGACCACGGGTATTTTTTCCCCCCCATAGTACACCTGGTTGAACCACGGGAAATAATTTTAACCCGTAGTCCACCTGACTCTTCCTCAATTTATTACGGCTCTTGAGTCTCTTAAGCGCAATAAGAATTGCAGAATCAAAAAGGCGCAAATTAATTGAAAACATTGATTTATATAAAATATATTCAGATGCAGTTAATTAACAACAATATTTCTATAGGCATCGCTTTAGAAAAACTACGCTAATTGAATGATTTTAAAATTATAAATCCTTTTTTGTTCATAAGAACATCCATAATTTACTGTTAGAAACATATGGCTATGCGGGTAGACCACGGGAAAAAATAATCCCCGTAGTCCACCTGGGTGGACTACGGGGTGGACCACGGGAAACAAATGATGTTATATACTTCATCTATTATATCTTTATCTATTTATTGAAACGAGTTTGAGCGAAATGTTAAAAATGAACATTTTATATCCACAGAGGCGCGTGAAGTGTACAGCCTCCAACCGTTTACGTCTAGAGATTTGATGCTTCGCTCACTCGCTGACCGAGTTTTAGATCTGCCACAACTGCAATACCTTTACCCGAGCGTCGCTAAAGATACTGTGTTCTCCAAATACTACACCAAACCGGGTCAGTTTTAGTTCGATTTATAGCTATAATAGGGATCTGTCACAACCGCAATACTTTTACCTGAGCGTCGCTATGTGTTCTTCAAATACTACACCAAACCGGGTGAGTTTTAGTTTGATTAATAGCTGTATATAGGGATCTGTCACATCCGCAATACTTTTACCCGAGTGTCGCTATGTGTTCTCCAAATAATACACCAAACCGGGTCAGTTTTAGTTCGATTTCTAGCTATAATAGGGATCTGTCACAACCGCAATACTTTTACCCGACCGTTGCTAAAAATTCGATTAAAAAAACTAGATTTTGACGACCTCCGTGGCCGAGTGGTTTGTACGCCGGGTTTCATGGTGTCGCCGACTCGAGAGGTCCTGGGTTCGAATCCCGGTGGGAGCATATGTTTGTGTGATGACTACGAGCATTTGAAATCCAGACATGGATGATTAAGATGTATCTATATATATATAAAACTCAAAGGTGACTGATTGACATAGTGATCTATCAACGCACAGCCCAAACCACTGGACGGATCGGACTGAAATTTGGCATGCAGGTAGATGTTATGACGTAGGCATCCGCTAAGAAAGGATTTTGATCAATTCTACCCCCAAGGGGATAAAATAGGGAATGAAAGTTTGTATGAAACTTTGTCAATTTAAACCGATCGGGCTGAGACTTTGCATGCAGGTATAAGAAATGTCATTGTGTATAATACAAGCCTGAGAACAAAATCTGTAGTCTACACTTCAGCACTACATCGAAGCAAAGAGAGGGCGGGCCGCTAGTTTCTATATAAATGTACTCATATACAGTCGAAACCGGATATAACGACATTGACCATATAATTTCTGACGTTATGTCCCATAGTTGTGCAATAAACACAAGTAGTCATATTATTGTCACATTGTAGTATGGTTATAAATAATCACTATAAGCTTGTTTTCAAAAACATACCAAAAAATAAATAATAAGTTTACTACGAAATTTAAGGAACCTACAGTATATTTTGTTTTGCTGAAAAAAGTGGAACGTTTTTATATATAGTCGTGTCCTGTGACGTCATAGGATATTTCATATACATATTTTTTCATATTTTATTTTATTTAAATACAGAGAACGACGTCCTTAAGAACGGCTACGTGAAGCCAGTCCTAGTGACAACTTTACCCTATATGGCCACACCAGCGTACGCCTCCCCTGATTCTCATCGTAGCACGCCTTCTGTGAATAGCAGGTGAATATTACACTGAAAATTACATGAAACATTCACTAAACTACACTACCGGTCTTCTCCACTACACTACACTTAGTATTATGTACCATGGTAGTGGTACATACCCAACGATATTAAATACCCTAGATACACCAACACGAACAAAATCGTGCCCGAAACCTGTCCATAAGGTACATTGAACGATCCACAGAGCTCCGTAAGATGATCGCGTAGTCAAAATCAATATAAGGCATTATTTAAATATTGAAAGTAACCTTTAATACATACTGTTTAAGGTCTTAAATAAAACGCATGCGTCAAGGACTTCTGACAGTTCGAAATGCAAGCTCGTAAAATTTTACGATAGTGCTATATGCGGAAGAATTTTGAGCTTAGTTCTTTGACTCTACGTGCAATTCTGAACGTGCTGTTAGCAATATAGCAGGCACGGCCCGCGAGGAAAAGAGACGGCTATATGGCGACGTATAACCGACCATGCATTTGAATATCACAATTTTTTTTTTTATTAAATCAGTTTATAGTAAGTATTAGATCAAAATTTCCTTCAAATGCGTTATATTAACAAACATTGACAAGATACCTGTCGAAAAAACGACACTTTTCGTACTGTAAGTATTATTTTCGCATTTTTTCGCGAAGCTCTGCGGCATCTTGACTTTGTAACGGTCCGCGCGTGACTGTGAACCAAGAAGTGCTTGAGTGGAGTTCAAGCACTTCTTGATTGGGACACATTATGAGCGCTCGTGGTGTATCTAGGGTATTTAATATCGTTGTACATAACACAACAATGGTATTATATACTAAACTATCTTTTGGTGTCTTATTACCATACAATTGATACAATACACTTTTGATATGATAACGGTTTTTTAATTCCCTTTTTTTAGATGCACACGTTTTTGAAACAAGATCAATACAATTTTAAATTGAATTCATCATCATCAACATCATCTGCCTATTAATGTCCCACTGCTGGGACACAGGCCTTCCCTATGGATGGAATAGAGAGTTTGAGGCGTGACCTATCACGCGGGCCCAGTGCGGCTTGGTGGGTGCTAACGACTCCAGAATAACTAAGCACTAATTTGTATTGATCTCGTTTAAAAAACGTAAACTCATTGCCTCTACAATAGAGTATTTGACTAATGTCTATGGATTCCATAGAAAGTAGATATTTTTAATTCTGTTGTGTAATTCAGTAAAAAAAAACGATGTTCAATTTGCCGCGAAAACGTTTGTCTGGACATCATGGCGTCTCACTAGGATGTGACGTCACACGATTGTGATTAAAATGTCAAGCGGTACAATGTAATGTCACTTTGGCCTGAAGTTTACCAGCGTGTGACGTCATTTAGGCTTGGCCAGCAGAAAATAAACTTTTCTATCTAATGATTTTATAGTAAAGGTATTAATTATTTGTTCGTTAAGAATGTTAAAATCGCTGCTAATATTCATATAAAATACAGATGCCAAGAATTGGTACATTATTCTTCATGCTGTCACATCAACAGCCTATTTAACAATATATTTTTAAAGCCTCAACATAAATTGGTTGAATATTCACTTTTTCATTATTTAATTATTATATTTTTTATTTATTTGATTTTTCTTTCTTTCTTTAGGTACATGATAGATTTTTAACGCGGCGTTACATCATATAATTATAAATCGGATCAATTTTAATTTAATTAATTATTTTTAGTTAGTTTTAATTTGCGGATAAGTTTGATTTGATAGTCACATCCTGAATTCTACTTTTTATTATTATGATTATTTTATTTTGGAAACCCCAAAAAGTGCCTTATATAGTTCTTTTTCTATCTTTTTTTTATCTGTGTAACAAATTTTAATTCATAAAGCACAAACAAAAATTTGAAAAATAAATTTTTTTTTGAGCATATCGCAGTTTACCGAAGCACTTATACGGAAATTTCTTTCAAGAAATGTCGTTTTATTTATCAATTTTTTATTGTCATTTAAGAAAATAATTTCTAAAATAATCCTTACTTTATTTCATACAGACAACATATAAACATTTAAAAAAAAATAGGAAAATATAAAAAAAAAATAGATTACAACGAAAGTGCTTCGAACTGACCGTGATATCAATAGATTTATTAAAAATGCAAAAAAACCCTTTAAAATGTTTATGAGTTAAAATTAGTTAATATGACCCTATTACTAGTATTGACGGAAATGATTTGTTTTTTTAACGATTTTCTTTCTAGCTGCGCTCCAACCATACTGCAGCTGTAAGAAGATTAAATTAAACAAAATTTAAAAAAAACGAAACAAAAAAAAACACCTACCATGTTTTTTCAGTCTCAAAGTGTATAGAGTTAAGTGCAATATAGGTAGTTAGTTGTAAAATTTTGACTTTTTAAAACTGATTATTTAGACTGTTTAATGGATTATTTTTAAGACGCTCCTATTTGGACGGGCCCAATTCCAAATCAAATGTCTTAATTAGAACATGACAATTGAAAGATTATATCAACAGATCAATTGAAAAAAAATATAAGACATTCATTTTATTTGAATCTCGAAAAGCGTTTACCTCGTTGTAACTGTTTAATAATATCAATATGCAATTTAAGTCTTGTAATTGGTCAATTATCAGGCGTAGACGCGCTGTGATTGGTTGATCGTGGCATATTATGCCGTACGTTCTCTATAACATCGAATAATCGATTTTTAATACAGTTATACCATAAACTTTGAATTGTGATAAAACATGAACAGTGGCAAAAAACAGTATTAAAAAAAATTAACTGTTAGGATTAAATTGACAGTATTTTTAGGCTAATTTGACTGTGCGTTGTATTGGTATTTGATGAATGATTAGTTATTTTTTTGTAATTCTTCCAATTTATTGATCTTTTGTAACGTGAGAATAGCACGGTTTAGAATGAATATAGAAGAACTTGATCTCAATTAATGTAGCTGTAAAAAGAGAACCATTGGATTTCACTAAAGAGATAAATTCCAAACTTCAAATTAAGTTGAAACTTCTGAAATATGGTTTCTATATCAAAATTCGATATATTCATATCGGCTAAGGAGAAATACAGGCTAAGTCTACTTTTTCTTAAATTGTTGTTTTGGAATCTATAGCCACAAAAATATAAATTTCATCTTATGGCCATCAAAAAAAAAGAGTAAAACTCTTCTTATTTTTTTTAGACTGTTTGGGTGTTTTAATGAATAGCAGTTATTTTTTGTTATTGTGCAATTTTCATTCAAATAATCATTACATGTACTTGTAGTATACTATTAAATTTACTTTGAAAATTAACTGCTTGTATATGAGCAGATTTTCTGAGTCAGTCATAATATGCTGTCGTAACTTTAATTGCTTGTACAGTAAAATTTTATTTATGTGACTTAGCCTGTATTTCTCCTTGGCCCTTTATATAATTTTTTCTTATAAAAAACGAGTAATATGTGGCTACGATAGACAATGATCTCTTTGTCTTTTAAACAATGTACTTATTTGGCATCCAAATTGTTAAAAATAAACACAGACTGTGTGAGTTCTAATGCCAATAGTTTTTCCAACTTTGTCTTATTTTAATGAAAAATTTGACATTGAAATATATGTATGTATACAATTATTAATTTTTGAGATATAATTTAACAATTTATATTAAAAAAATATATATTAACGGTTTTAACAATTGCAGTGGCGATTGTAGCTAAATTCATACAATCACACTAAATACAAAAATGTATACACTAACATAGTTTTGTTTGGTCTATGATAAAACTTACACATAACAAGGTTTAAAATATATGTTTAAAAGTACTCTTTTTAACGCACATTTATTTGTATAAAATAATCATATATTGCTATTTATAAGTAACTAGCTGACTCGGCGAACTTCGTACCGCCCAAAAGTAATAATTTGCAATAAATTAAAATTGCGACTATAATTTGAAATTTAAACTATCCTATCTCTCAAGTTGGATCGAACTGCACATGGTGTGCGAATTTTATTATAATCGGTTCAGTGGTTTAGGAGTCCATTGAGGACAAACATTGTGACACGAGATTTATATATATTAAGATTAACAAAAATATTGACGAAATCTTCATTCATTCCTTGTTCTCTCAAATTCAATGGCAGTGTATTTTTATAGAGACAACTCAAACCATACTTCTCAAGTTATGGCCAAAACAACATTATATTCATTGCTTCGTTGATAAATATACTGAAATAGATTAAATAGTTTAACTAACTACTAAGAAGTAACATTATTCCAACTTTCTTAGCAGTTTTCCTGTCTCCAAATCAGGCCAATTTCTTATCGAGGACTAGGAGATTCGCTGGTCTACCTTTGGGTCCAATTTTCAGTAGCCAGTAAACCACTACAGTTAAAAAAAATATTACCACTATAAGCATAATATATGCATTTTTATTTTCATTCTTAACGATATGTATAAAATATCAGAATTCTACGAATTTACAAAACAAAATTATACCCTACTCATAATCATTTACAATAACGATTATTGGGAAATACTTCTCGTTGAATAATAATAATAATAAAAAAACACATTGCATTGCGAATGCAACAAGTTCTGTCAATTCTCATAAATTATATTTAATAATACAAAAAAAAACAAAATTTTTGATAAATGGATATTTGCAAAATTATTACGTATACTGTCTACATGTTTTTATAACTAATAATCAATTGTTATATATAATCATATTACTATTATATATATATTTGTTTAATCTATTTAACATTGGCGAGTTATATGAATATATAGTATAATGAAATAAATCCCCTTCTGTTGATGATAATTATAGGAGAATTTTGAAAGTTATGTAGCTTAGAGACTAGCTAATGGAAAGTATTGTCGGTAAAGAGGGTATGCCATGAAGTATTTATATTTAATGTACACATTTTTTAATACTATCTGTATCACAACGAAAGAAACGGCTCAAGTTAGATTGTTATTCTCTCAATTGATTGTAATATGTTAAATCACCTTTGACTCACATTGACAGAGAAAGGATATTTACAAATTTTTCATATTATACAACTGTCGAAATCTGTGAAAAATTATGAAAGTATATTACTTAATGAAAAAATAATTCCTGAAGGCTAGAATATGCCAAAGTGAATCTTAAAATTAAAACATGAATTTAAGAAAAGAATGTTGATTATAATTGTCAGCGAAACACCGTCCTTGAATTATTTAGTTTGACAAAAAAATATATACATTTTATTTTGTATGTATACAGTTTTCTAACTTTTTACCCCTTGATAAGTTTAATAAAGATATATGTATACAAGTTTTCTATAATTATTGGGTCCACAAAAATGCATTTTTCCTATATGTTTGTTTGTTCTTAGATATAATACTTTTTAAATGTTAATGTTAATATAAAATAATGAAAACTTTATGAGTGTGATTCCGGATGCGAAAACGGAAATCGAAAAAAAAAACACTATTATCGGCTATTAAAAATAAGACTTATTTAAGTATTTTTATAGAATATTAAGGGTTACCCTTTCCTCTTACACATTTTGATGTTTTGCAAAATATGTTGATGAGAAAAGATGCCAATTTATTTGTGATTACGTGATTTATTTCTTTGTATAATTCGGTGCTAATTCTTTTTTTTTTTTAATAATATTTTTACTCGAATTATTAATATTGAGTACAGCTTTTGATACATGACATTTTACATTTTTTAAGTTATGAATTACGAATATTGAAATTGGTAATATACAGGATATTCCCGGAATCAAAAAAACGACGTTTCGGTTTTTTCTTTTTTTTCTATCGTGTTTCAATCTGTACCCCTAGCACGAACCAATATCGAATTCGTATCGTTTGCCAGTCCGAGATGTCATTGTCAAATGTGTACTGATTTTTAGTTCTCGTTACGTACTTTGTGCCGCTGCTGTTCAAGTTTCCATACAACATTTGACATTGACATTTCGGTTTGCAAACTATTCGAATTAGTGGTTCGTACTAGGGGTCCTGAACTACATAGTCCAGGATACATATTTGCACTTGATAACTATCAAGCTGAATCTTCGTGAATAGCTTCATTTCGATGAGACACCCAACAAGTTCCTGTGTGAAAACTATCTCTACGTAATATAAGATAGAGTAAACTAACTAAGAGAAAAACTAAAAAGCTTATTTTAATAATAATATACTTTCATTTCAAACACAAGGTCCGTTAAGGTCCACAAATAATTTGTGAATTGTAGGAATTTGAACTAAAATATATCATTACTTACAATGCGAAGAGATGGTGCTGCCTTGCAGCTTAAGAATGGGTAGAGGAATTTCGACGCCGCCGTCAGGGCCGCGGCTAGCATAATTGGTCGAGCATTCACCCGGATAGCGAAGGGTGCGGGTTCAAGTCCCGTCTGCTGCCTGATTCGCGTGGATTTTTTTCTAGTTATATTTTCTTTGGATTTAAACATCAAGCAGTTACATGCTTAAAAAATAAAAATTATAAATATTTCATCAGTGATTTACTTTGTGTATTCATTTCATATGAGATATTTGGTTATTTATTTTATTCCTTGAATCTCGTGTTTTGTTGATTTAGTTACTACACCAAAATCACTAAATTTATTTATACATTTCGTTATAATCATGGTATTTCGTGCTAGGTTCTAACCACTAACCTGCGTAGGTACCCTTAGTACGAGTTTGAGCTCACGAAAACTATCATAGTTTTTGGTGAAAAGTAACCAAATATACTTGAATTTTAGAAGACGCAAATGATTTAATGATAGAATTTAAACACTGTTTATTTGTATTGAAACGAAAACAATAAAATCAGTACCCTTAGTACGAGTGCGAGCTCACTAAAACTATTATAGTTTTCGTAATTGTAAAACTCGTACTAAGGGTACTGCGTAAGTTTAAAAACTTTTATGGTTTTAGAGAGGGATTCGATCTGGGTTGCAAAGGTATGGCAAATTTACTGCATGCCAGTTACCCGATCCGAAAAATCAACAACAATTAATAATCCAATTTTCCGGGCATTGTTTTACTTTTAATTATAACATTCGTAATTGGACACTAAATTAATTATACAATTTAATCATTTAAAATTATACCCATCGCCTAATAATTACCTTCCTTTGATTGTTTTTTTTTTAATGTTTCGAATGCTCAAATATATCACAATTGTAGTGTTGTCTCAAATAACTAATGCTTTTAAAAACAATAAATCTAAAACGTCTAACGAATAAATGAATAAAAGCTCGCACCGTATATTACCAATTTAAATAAATAACTAAAGTGTATAATTATTGATTAAGTTTTACCAATTAAGGTTCTAATATTTTATACATAGTTTATTGATTTACGAATTTATGAATACATAAAATGGATGTGACTATTAAGAATTAAGCTTAGTACCTATACCATTATTGTTAGAAACATCTCGTCATCGGTTACATAAATTACCCTGCCTTCATTAGATCTTTATCATCCTCACTTTGACACAAATGCCATTGTGAAATGATTTTATTTATCAAAATTATTAAATGTTAACTTTCCTTATTAATAAAAGGAAAATAAGCTTCGATTACTTTTGAATTGAAACTTCTTTACGCACGCTTGACTTGGGGGGTAAGCTGGCGAATGCGTTACGCGTTACGAAGTGTCTTCGGGCGAGGCGAACGGGAGTTGAGTGGTGGATATAAGCAAGAGAAATCAGTGCGCGCGCACCTTTTCTCTCTCCTATAGCTATAAATGTAATATGTATATATTGTATACACACACACACACATACATATATACAGATGGAGCTAAAGAAGTTTCACTTCAGTCGTGTGGTCATAAGCACCCTCATTTTGTTTTCTCCTAAGTGACGTAAAATGACGGACACATAAACTTCGCTTTATTAATAAGAGGATACAATTATTAAACTTTGATTGTGTTAGATATAAGAATGCTAAGTAATTGTCTACATGTGTCACATTGCCTCTCAATATAGTGTTGAATAATCTTCTAGATGTATAGAACTGTCTGTTGGAAACGAATTTTAACAAGTAAAAACATCAATGTTAGTAGATCTGTTTCTTTTTAAATATATAAGTTATGTTAACAATGAAATTGAAAGTAGAAAATTATTAGTCCTGTTGCGAAGCGAAGCTATTTTCGAGTGAACGCTGGCCTTAAGGCCGTGCTTTGTGATCGGTTTAAAATAAACTGTGGCTATGTATGATATTCGTTATGGGTTAAATAAATGCGAGTGTCAAAACATTACTGGTATAGGAATAAAATAATTGTAAGGTTACGCTAAAATAGAGTTTATGGTGTTTACAATACACGCACGCAGTCTCCCAATTCCTGACGATGAGAAATCTATCTTTGATGAAGTATTTGTAATAACCGATCCGGTATTAAAACACATTTTTGGAGACCAATAGTATTAAAGCGGTACATATCACTTCAGAAAGTAGACTTAATTGTGACTGCGTAAAGGTTGTTTTTCATCGTCGTAAAAATCGCTCTTTATAATAAATAATACATGACAATGTTTGTTGGACGCATGAATGTTTTTAACGTATTTGTATACAAATATACGTGAAATTAAAAACGGAAGCTTTATTTTTTTTATGAAAAAGGAAAATGTCTTTGGATGCATGATTTGCTTCTAATATGCTCTATTATTATTAAATTGTGTGACGGGTGAAAATTTAGAAATTGACGTGTAAATTAAAGTGAAACTAGCTTTTTGTTTAATGTTAAGAGTAATTTGTATATAGCTAATTTTGAACATAAACTAAAACCTATTTTTAAACTTTCTAAGACATTTTTTTTTCTCATAATTCCCTTCGTGAAAATGCAACACAGACGAGACGGTCGTTAAAATTACTTCCTGTTTATATATATATTTTTTTTAAATTAAGAAATTTTGTTTTTTAGTATTTTTTTTTTACTGTATCTTAGTTGTGACATAGAGATAAATTTGATTATGGCTTTTTTGTCTGTGCTGACATTTTGGCGAGGCGGTAGGCTATTTATTTTGATTTTTTTTTTCATCAAAATTTTCTTTTACTTACGACCGTCCGTTGATTAACTCACGTGTTGCATTTTCTTTCTTTCCCGATACCTGCGCCCTGGTGCCGTCGCTACGTCTCCAATCTACACAAACACACACACACACACACATACACACACACACACATACACACACACACACAAACACTGCTTACGAGTATTTTTCTTTTGGTTAATTTTGATTTTTATACTGACATCTTACTATTTAAAATAATAATTTCGTAATTTCAACTAATTAAATGTAAATTATACATTTTTATCAAAAATTATACACACTTGTATTTTGCTGCGACATAATATATGAATTCATAACTTCGCTTATCCGAATTGGCATTTAAATTAAACCTTGTTTTTTTTTCTAAAACGGAAAAAAACTTACATTTTTTTAAATCACTTACTAATTTAACATCACTTACTCGATTTGTTAACTCTTAAAACATTATTTTTTTCCACAATTTTTTTTTTTGATTATGTTTACATTTCCTTGTGATAATATTACAATAACACACACACACATACACTGGGTATTTAAAATGGAAAAAACAACGTCTTTTGCCAAAACATAAATCAACAAACGATTCTTTCAAATTTTACGAATGAATTCTACAATTTCTCACACCAATATGAATGATATCTCGCCCAAAACTTTTTTTTTTATTTTAATAACATGAACTTGTTATTCTTTAATACAATATATCACCCACACATACATACAAACTCACACACTTGCTGTATATATGACACACTTACACACACTTGCTGTATATATGACACACACACACACACACACACTTGCTGTATATATGACACAAACACATAACAGCTGCTTCAGTGCAGCCACACCGGCCCCGACTGAAAGCAGCACCTTCATGGACAGTGACCTTTTCGAACAGATGAGAGCTTTTGACCCCGACGGCTTTGATGAGTTCAACATGTACGAGAGTATGACGATGAAATGATGTGAGTATCTTACTGAATTGGAATACTAGACACAAGACTAGACCTCGTTTTTGAAGGTTATATAAAAACTGTTTCAATGTCAGCCGCTGTGCCCCAAAAATTTCCTACCGAAAACCAACAATGTATATGGTTCGAGAACACTAAAATATGTAATTCCTAAATTTCTAAATGAAATGCCCCCCAGTATTCAAGTATTGTATATGAAAGATAATTGTAAACATAAACTTAAAAAATATTTGCTAGAGCGAATCGCTGTAGACAGATAAACCCATGTTTAAGGGTTTTTAGATACAGCCATTGTATATCAAAAATGTAATTGATTTGATTGAATAAATGAATGAAAGAATGCCATACGACAAAATGTTATGGAGGTAGCTAAAGTATACTGCCCTAGCAAAGTCGACATCAGACAGCTGTGTTATTTTATAGATGGCATAAGCAGGAGCTCAATGGCGCCAGTGGTTAGCGCGTTCGGCTGCGGTCGTTGAAAATGAGCAACTTTCGCAGTGGTCGGTCATTGGATGGGTGACCAAAAATTTACCTACTATCTCGAGCCCCTCCGTGCTTCGGAAGGCACGTTAAGCCGTTGGTCCCGGCTACATCTGCAGTCGTTAGCATCCACCAACCCGCACTGGGCCCGCGTGGTGGGTCACGGCCCAATCTCCCTAATCCATCCATAGGGAAGGCCTGTGCCCCAGCAATGGAGACATTAATAAGCTGACGATGAGGACAATCCACGGTCAGGTGCCAACATTATAAAAAGTACAAAATTCGTTCAGAAATAAGAAGTAGTTGTCAAAATTGACAAAAAATTAAAAGAAGGTCAATTTTATCTGTGATGTTTAGTATGTTGTTTAAAAACAACATTGTCCATTTAAGGGTTAATTAGAGTGTATGATTAATGTTTTTTAGAGAAGCAGCAGAAATAGAAAAGCTCTCTGTCACCATTTCTTCTATATCATTTTCATGAGAGTCAGTCCTCTGGCAGACAGATGGCCAGGTCAGGGGGGGAGGGGGAGCCAAAGGGGTCGAGGGACGGGGAGGGATTGGATTGGATTGCCTTTCAATCAGGGCCGCGATAGCATAATGGTCAGTGCATTCGCCCGGATAGTTAAGGGTGCCGGGATCGAGTCCCGTCTGCTGCCTGGTCCGCGTGGATTTTTTTCTAGTAAAATTTTCTACATTTAAACATCTAGCAGTTACATGCTTAAAAAATTAAAAAATAACGATATAACTCAGTAATGTTTTGGTTGTGAATAAAGAAAAAATAAGTGTTCAATACTTTTTGATAATCTACCTGAAAGACGGAGAAAAAAAATTCATTATCTCCGTCTGCGTGGAAAGATTATTACATACAAATACCCATACAAACTTCTACCCCCTTTACACCCCCTCAAAGGTCGATTTCTGGGATAGAAATTATCCCATGTCCTTTTCCGAGACTCGAAACTATTTATATACCAAATTTCATCTCAATCTGTCCAGCGGTTTAAGCGTGAAGAGAAAACAGATAGAAATAAAAAACTAGAGACTAGAAAGAGAGCATCTTTCTAAAGAGTTTTTAATTTCATGCGAGTGTAGCTCAGTCCATTTCGGATTCAAATAATTTATTGCAACCATAGACTAGACAGATTTTTTTAATGTCTTGTCTATGATTTTCATTGATTTGTCTATATTTTTTTTTCAGGTGACCTGCAATAAATAACCAGTTTTATATTATTTTTATTACGTTACATCTAGTGTATAATTTTTATTAAATTTAATTAATTATTTTACCATATCAGTCAACTATTGATATGTTTTTGTGGCATATATACAAATTAATTATGTATACAGACACCAATAATATGTACCTATCTAGATTTTTATGTATACAAAGTTAGTGCCATAGATTTTAATTTGTCGTCTTATGTAATTATGGTAAAAATTTGGGATTATTTTGACATATTTTTTGTGTTTTTTTTAATTGTAATAAATAGTAAGGTGGTGCTTTTAATATTGACAACTTAACATTTTAAAGTCTTTTATATTCTTTATTAAATAATGATGAATTTAACATTTTTATTGTAGATTATTTTTAAAATTACGCGTTATAGTTAACCTGTTTGAGATTAGGCTATAGTGTATAATAATATTTTTTTAATGTTTTCAATATGGCAGTAATATCTGTTAATCACTTTTTTTTAAATATTATGATCATTTATTTTATTTATACTTTATGTATACAATAACAGGAGTTTCGATTGATGTTGTATCTAAAATCCTCTTTGTATTGCATTTAATTAGAATTTTACACGATTGCAAAATGAATTACCTTGTTTCAACAAAACACTTAGTACATGAAAATTTTTAGCACACTTTAGGGGAATATTCTATCACTATATGTATTATAATGATGACGAGTTACTCACGGTTCTCGTAAAATAGTCGCTTTTATAACATTAATAATGAAATTATGAATCCATAGTTTGTCCATAGTTTTTATTATAATTAGAGATGGGCCGACTAGCCGACGACTAGTCGGGAAAGACGATTATTCGGCATCGTTTATAGTCGGCGATTAGTCGGCGACTATTCGGTAAAACATGACGATTATAATCGGCACATAACAATGAAATAAAACTTAAGACTTATGCTTATTTTGAATATTTCAACAGTACCTAGAGTATGTATTTAAAGTTACCTACAGTCTTAAAATATAAAAAAAAAATAAGGTAACATAATAAGAATTAGGAATTTAAGATTCTGTCAGTAATTCAGATTACATAACACAATGAATATCGCACATAACAAAATGGCAGTGGGAAGTAAGTACGTATTAATTGAGTGAAATCTTAAGTGCTAGCAAGTCGTAAAGAAGTCTATAGGTAGTTTTTGTTTTCTTTTTAGGCAAATTGTGATGTTGGAACATGAATATTTCTTCTCATTTTGAGAGACTCGTGTCGCGCGTGAGAAGGCCGAGTAGTAACGAAATATTCCGAACATCTTAAGATAGGTGTTAGAATGATCGGCATTGCAGAATAGTCGGGAATTCGAAAACCGATTAGTCGGCAAATACTATAGTCGGCCCATCTCTAATTACAATCAATAAATAAATCATGGTACAGTTGAGAAAAAATGCAACACTAAGGCGAGATTTGCTTGAACACATACTACGTAGTTTGAAAGTATATCTATGAAATTATGAAGCTTTTGCGCAAGCGAATTACGCCTTTTTGTCGTAGAATAGACTTGCATCTTTGAACGTATTTATGTGTTAAAAAAATAAGTGCTTCTGTTTCAAGTAATGTATGTTTTAGGCGATTACGTAACTGTAATACAAACGATTTTAAACTTTTTTTACAATATGGTATAAAGTCTATTATAGTTTAAGGAAACTGTCGTTTAAACAAGGACGTATAGTTGGTTTTTGTACATTAAAATAAGATGTGTGCTTTAGTCTGGCTACTCCAAAAAATAACTTTGTAACCTACCTAAAAAAGATGAAAATTCATTCAGGAATTTTTACACCCGTACAGTATGAAGAGTGTAGGTGTAGATTGAAGTTTTGAATAATGTGATCGTTCTCAACTTTGTCACAATTAAAATCTTTATACATTTATCTGAACATAAATCTATATTTTCTGTTACAAGTTACTAGAAAGAGTTCCAAGTGTTCACACCTTGGTATTAAAAAGATATAGGTGTCGATTCTAGCATGATTTCTCAAAATTAAAAACTAATTTTAACATCAGTCCCTTTTTTTCATTCTGTATAGAGAATGACAAGGATAGATAATAATGCCCAGAATCGACACCATAATATAGATAGTATGCTAACATCCTTAAAATCGCGTTTGTGGTTCGTTGAAAAAAAAATTAAACACTACAGTTAAGGATATTCTTCTTCTTTTTTCTTTTTTTATGGCAATGGATATTGTTGTCTCACAGAATAGTTAAAGCGTTGCTTGTTGTAAATGGAAAGGTTGTCATTTATCAACTAGGTTTATCATACCGGAAACTTCTTGAGCAAACAAAATCACAGACAAATAAACATACGCAGTTTGACGTTTTTTTTATCTAAAATTGCTTCTGCGCAGGCTTCCTTGTCTATGGTCGTTGCTCAAGATGTTTGTCGATTTATTTGCTGTCCAGTGTAAGTAGTAAACTAAAGCATACTTCGTGTAGCGGGGTGTGAACTTGTATTCTTTTACTGAAATGTCCGGAGTTTTATATAAAGCCGTAAGTACTTCTTGTCACGACTTTTCAAATTTCTCAATGGCAACTCAGACATGCCCAAAGACAATAACGGGGAGTTATGTTCAACATCTTGATGGATCAGAATCAGAATCGGGCACATATAAAATGATAGGGCTAACGATTTCATATTTTAAATAAGATGTGCAAGCATTGCGTAAGTCAATTAGATCGTTTGAGGTTTTTTTGAGGCGAAAGTTTAAATTTTAATTTACTTGGGTCTGAAAATGGTTTCGTCTCAGAAGGGACTTGGGCCTGAAAAGGTTTTCGTCTGAGAAGGACTTGGGCCTGAAAAGGTTTTCGTCTCAGAGGGGACTTGGGTCAGAAAAGGTTTTCGTCTCAGAAGGACTTGGGCCTGAAAGGTTTTCGTCTCGGAAGGGACTTGGGACTGAAAAGGTTTTCGTCTCAGAAGTGACTTGAGTTTGGCAGGTTTTCGTCTCGGAAGGGACTTGGGGTCTGAAAAGGTTTTGTCTCAGAAAGGATTTGTGTCTGAAAAGGTTTTCTTCTCGGAAGGGACTTGAGTCCGAAAATGCTAAGTCTTAAGAAAGGACTTAAGACTGAAATGACTTTTGTCCCAGAAGTGAAACGTTGCATTTGCAGGTACGCGTTATTAAATTTGTAGTAAAACAAATAAAATATATAATAAAAAATTGGATAGACAGTATAACGTTTATATATATATTGACTTTAAAAAATATATTTCGTGAAATGGTTGTTTATAGCTAAGTATGAGCCAGAATATATATTTATATATTATAATATAAAGGATGTTTATGAAATCATAGCATTTATGATTAAACTAAATATAATACTGCATTAGCTTATATTGCCTATATTTTAATAATATTGATCGAAAATTGCTATTAAATATATATAATTAATAATGTTGTGAAATCGATGTTGTTAATTATGAAATGTTCATGTTGAATTGTCAGTGTTGGGAAAAATCTGTGCTTTCAGATGTAAAAAAAAGTGGTTTATTGGTACGTAGTTTTTTGCACTGATCAAATTACACTATTTACAATGTAATTCTTATTTGGTGCACTGATGTTTCATCCATTTCGCTGTGTTTCATGTTTAGTCTTGTCGGTGTTCATTTAAAGTCTTAGTCAAACCAGGATACAGATTAGTGATGTAACGAATGACATTTTTTGAACATTCAGTTTTGTTGAAGATTGGCGCCAACTGTCTATGGCATGGTGGCAGTCTCGTTCGAATTGATATGAACTCATCCGACTGAAGTGTCATTCCGCTCGCGCCGGTCTTTTCATAAACAAAGCAAGTGAATTTTGGGGTTAGTTTGAATAGTGATTTAGTAACATGAGTAAATCAAATTCTAGTGAAATATGGACTTATTTCACACTTTGCAATGCTGAACGAGCTAAATGAAAGCTGTGTAACAATGAATATTCAAGGAAAGGAAGAAGTCTCTAATATTCATATTCGCAAAACATTCACAGAGATTTTGCGAATGCGAATGCGAATATGCAAAAATATGTGAATATTCGCGAATGCGGATGCGAATATTCGTTACATCACTAATACAGATATTGCTATCCATGAAGACGCGCCCCAATATTCCTCCTAACCGTTTATAGTAAATGTGTACCAGCTTCCGCCAATAAATTATCTATGAGTGCACAAGCACACTACAATAAATAAACTAATCAGGAGAGAGCGTCACGTTCAAAGGAAATTGGTAAATTGAAAAATTGGTACGCTTTATCTTCGTAGATTGCACTATCTGTAAATAAGTATGGATTTTGCAATGCAAACCTACACTTGGTTCTACGAAAATCATTATATTTATAACTTTGATTGTAGTCGCGCCTTGATGCCGTAATAACTGCTAGGAAACGGCGAAAAAATATCTACTACTTATGGTAGATCTGCTCGTCGCTACATACGAACACATTGACCGCTTTCAATCAATCTGACATTAGAGTCGCGCACACATTGCGCGTAATATGAGCCGTTTTCTTTGCGTGGTTTATGGGCGTATTCCGAATCAAACACCAGTACGCTGGCCAGTGGTAATGACGTCATGATTTCGACGCCATATTGACAACACTACTACTACACCAGTGCAATATGGCGTCGAAATCATGACGTCATTACCGCTGGCCAGCGTACCGGTTTATATTTCGGAATACACCCTATATGTATTGCTCTATTTAGGCGTGTATATAATTATATCTATCACATCTTAGTGTTAGGAGTAGGGTCATTATGTGTAATAGTATCATTACATATTATCGACGGTGGGAATCGACAGTGGTTTGCAGAAACGACGAGCAGTTTTTATTTTTTCACAAAAAAATCGTAACTCATTTTAAATTTATCTTATTTTCGAACTTACATATTTTAACAAGATCAATAATAATTACCTATGTTCTTATAACTAGATTTTTATAGGTTAGTATACAATGTACTAGTATCTAAACTAGGCCGAGCCTGTAATATAGGCACTAGTTCTCATTTTAAATGGGAAGTAGGGTCATAGAAATAAAAAAAAATATTCGTAAAATAATATTTTCTAAATAAAAGTTACAAAATGCCTTTACTAATTAGATATCGCTTAAGCGAAAATCCCTCGGCCCGCCATACATTTTTTGTCAAACAAACATCAAATCATACGCCAAACAGGAAAGCGTAAGCGCCATTGGTTCAAAACAAACGCCAAAATTTATGTCGCCACAGCCTTGTGAACAATAAAACTTAGAAAACTTTTGGGCGCTAACGATTTTAGCGCCCAAAAAGTACTCAAATCTTCACGAAACATAAACAGATCGACGCAGCAATAAAATGTGATTAAAATTATGTATAAAACAAATTTTCGAATAAAGTGGCGATTAAGCGATTTTGACTTTCCACTGTCGATATAATTAGAAGTCATTCCCCCTAGCATGGGCACCGCGATATGGTATATAACGCTTTTTATCACGCCCAATTGTCAAATTACTATGGAGTTTGACAGTAAGGCGCGATAAAAAACATGATATAATGTAGATTGTGGTGCTCATGCTACGGGGTGGTTTTTTATCACATCAAACTGTCAAACTTCATAGTAATTTGACAATTGAGCGTGATAAAACGCTCTATATATACAGGGTAATACTAAAATACAAATAAAGCTTGAAGGGCGTTGAAGTACATCATATAAGGAGTCTTCTCTAATTTTAACAAAATATTTGCATGAAGTTTTAACTTTTCATAAAAACAGTCGACTTTTTATAAAAACAGTAGAAGACTCCTTATATGATGTACTTCAACGCCCTTCAAGCTTTATTTGTATTTTTATAACACCTGTATATCATATCGCGGTGCACATGCTTGTGGGCCATGTGATGTTACTAGTACAAATTATGTACGTACTCTGAGGACACCGCAACGCTGGCAATATTGTTTTGCTAGTAGATTTTTAGGGTAATTTTCTGCACCTACGACGGTCATTCGAGTTTAGTTCCCAATTTTTATGAATAATTTTTATATTGTTACCAACTTGATTTTGTAATTTAAGCAATAACTGACTTCTGGCTATAAAAAAACCTTTAACGTAGTCGAAGGCCACGTATTTTCCACATCATGACGATCATTTTTTTCTTCTGGACCATACCTGGGAAATTTATGGTTATGGATACATTGAAGGTCATAGTCAATTTTTTTTCCTTCCAAATTTTTACAAAAACGTTATTTAGAAATTTTTTATTGACGCACTTACACACGCAAACACATACACATAGGCACATTGTTTGCGTAGCGCCACAGGAGCGCGTCGCGCTATACATTGCGTACTGGTCATTTTTTGTATTTTTTTTAACTTAAAAATACAAATGTTTCCCACCTATAATATTTTGTAATATCACTTGTTTGGGTGTACAGAATGCGTAGCTTTAGCCTTTGTCATAGGTTTTTTTACACCCTGTATTTCATTTATAGTTTGTAAGTACCTTTTTAATAAAACCATGGTTTTAACAGAGAAAATAATTAATGCGATAAATTATGTTAGTTAAAATATAACAGTATCCAAACTGACTCATTTTATGATCAATTTGCTATCAGTGTTGCCATAACTTATTTTCCTAAATAGCAGAATCGAAATATAAAGTGAGTGATTTTATATTTTGCCAAGACCGGACTTTGCTAAGGGATTTCGTATTCTATTTAGTTGGACTTTAGCTGTACTGTTATCTAACATGATGTTGGTGGCAAAATTCTTGAGCAAAATCACAGTCAAATGAACTTGCGCAATAGACGTTTTTGTATGTAAAATTGCTACTGCGCATGCTGCCTTGTCTATGGTTGTTTCTCAAAAACTTTGTCGGGTTGTTTACTATACGAAGTTTATTCAGCATCAGTTGTTACTAAAATGCATGTACAGCCCACAGCTTTTATAAATTTTAAACACTTTCAACTTTTATTCCTTAAGCATAGAGTTCAAAATCGAATACCCATGAAATTGTATTAAATTTTTGGTAACAATGTGATATTTCAAGTCTACTTTACAATTTTCGCATCGCTTTCATGTT